CCCCACCCCGCGCCGACACAATCTGAGAAGTCAATCAAAACACGGTACTCGCTCTCCTACGGACAGCTTACTACACTTTAGCCCCTTTGCTTTGCCACGCGACCGGTGGGTCCTGTGCTGTATCTGGAACAAAGTAGCTAAGTGGTTGGTGGAATCCGCATTTATAACCAGTGCTGCCGGTACGACATATAGCACTCAAAAGAAAATAAATTGCAAGTCTTAACAGTAGCCATTTTAATGCTCAGTTGCTTTGACAGCATGTTACGAAACAGACATTACTGTGGACACTCCGATTTCACTGCTGAGGAGCAAAAGTCAGGTTCCTGCCCTTTAGAACCCCTGTTAAAAGTGGCCACTATACCGAATGGTAATCTATTTTGTTTGTCGGCAAAACTGTTGCTGTATCAGTAAGATTGCAACTCCAGGAAATCAGGATATATTTAAAACTGGTAACGCGTACAATAGAATAACGATTCACGACAAGTATAAAATTACAGGCTTAACATGTCCAGAAGATTAGTAATGTAATGAATTGCAAATATGAGGGCTACACAAATTGACAAGTTAAAATGCGCCTCGGTGAAGCGACACGACCACAGCATCTGAGAATCAGGCATGTGGGAATTAAATAGCAGCGTGCACAACGAAATAGTAAGTTAATACTACGTAGGCTCATAATAAGGAACCACCGGATTTCTCAGTCGCTTGCACTGAAGTAAGTGCGTTATAGCGGGATATAATTTAAAAGTTTGGCCGAAATCCACCGCACAGTATATGTCTACACGTTCTTGATTTGCTTGGCAGCATGTGAAACTCAGGTAACTTATCTGTTCACCTTGGTCCGAAACGCATTCAGCACGAACTCCCATTCCTTAGTTTAAGGGTTGGGCGCCCTTGTTGTTGTTATTAATAATAGCATCACCATTGTCATCATTAGATCTTTATTATGATGCTTTCTCGATAACTAATCTATTCATAACATTTGCGCATCTATTCTCGCTAAATGTGTTTGTACTAGTATTGAACTAGTGACAATTTGCAATGAGTCCGAGGCATAAGTAACACGTTTCAGAGATTGGGCTTCGCCCAGCACGAAACGATATTTCGGCCTACCGAGACAAACACAATTAAGATACTGGCTTTCACCAGCACTAATTTGACTTGGACTAGCAATCACGTAAAGACAATTCTTCTGAGATGTACAAAATGGTTTCTACGGTTACTGTGCAGCCAATATTTGAATGGGAACCTATGTTCGTATCAACAATTGAAGGCTAGATGTGTGACACTCAGTTTAATAAACTTGACCAAAATTGTCAGGTACTTGAAAGCAGTGTCCGGACTTCACGAGTTCCAATTTGATTTAACCTTCTTTTACTCATTTTCACCGCTACTAAAGTTTAGGTAATTGGTAGACAAGTGATTTTCTTAGAAAATTATTCGGTTGTCCTAGAATTACATTCTAAAGGCTCTGCTGTATTTTTCACGCTCGAAAACACAGGATCAGGCTAGTAGTAACTGCAAAATCGGATTGGCTAGAAGATTTACTATCCTCATCACTTTTTTAATATACAACAGAATCAACAAGTTTTCAGCAAACAACTTACAGCAAAATTATGACGAAGGCCGAACATATCACCACACGAACAATGGTAGAATACGTACCACACCCAAGTGAGTCAATCGTGAAATGCAGATGATGTGCGAGACTTGAATTTCAGTTTATGAGGTACGCTGTAACAAGCATCATCAAATTTTTGATCGCATAATATTTTTTATTTTGCTCTGTTTTTTTCAGCATGTTTGGAACAACGGACGTGTGAAGATTGTTTGGCCCTCTCGGATCCAAACCATTTCAAGTGCGCTTGGTGCCCAAAAGCCAATCGCTGCAGCGACGGACACGATCCATACCGGCCTGACTGGGATCTGATGGGTTGTCACGTGCACGTAAGTAACACTAGCGGCTCTTTAGCTGAAATTGTCTAACTGAAAACCAATGTAAAAACCGAACCCGGCATGCCCCTTCAAGTTAACGATCAATCGTAACCAGATCCACTAAGTGAAAGGGTAAGAGGGTTATCACAGTGTCTTGTAGCCATCCATTGACGAGGCTATTTTTAAGTGCTCATTGTCGAATGTACAGCATACCATCTGAGGAGTGAAAAAAGGAACGAGAATTGCGTCACTGATACTTTGACGAGTACACGGAGATTTAAATGCTCGTTCCGCTTAAGTAAATTTGCATTTGATTCGGAGCATCCGCTCCCTGAGTGATATTAGAAAACTGGGATCACAAAGAGCAATTATCCATGTGTCACAGTTTCTGTATACTTATTTGATGGAATCGTCAAAACGAGGATAAAGTTTAAAGTGGTGTGATGATCTGCTCACCTTCAATCTCTTTTAATCGACTCTAGGGAAACTTGAATGGTGTTTTTAGGGCCACCAAAATCTGGTAATTTGACTAAAAAACACCTAATCTTACTGACTAACATCTATATTTCCTCACTTGTCCGAAACCTGAAGCAAAGGCATTGTACAATGAGTTTACTGCGGCTGTAATATAACACAGCGATTTTACACTATATACTTTGCTTGTGATTTTAACAAACTTGACACCGCTTTTCTCACAAGTCCTGGGCTACTTAACGTCGCAAATTGCGCTACAAGGTCTAATGCGACTCCTGACCTTTTACTTATTAATAGCGTGAAACAGTTCTCTGTGGTTATTGGACGAGGTTAGACTGTTGATCGGTCAAAATTTAAACGGTGTTCCGTAATCTACTCTGAGACAAACAATAAAGTGGCTACTAGTTGCAAAGGTCGCTAGTTCATATGGAGGCAGCGTTCCGCACTGAAAAGTGCAATACTGCGAGAAATCGTATCACTCACGGACTCCAGTTTACTTTTTTTCACTGATACATTCACGTTTTGGTATCATATGACAAATTATTTGTTTTTTTATATATAATTTCCATGGGAAACTCTGTTCATCCATGCGGACAGGTTCCCTTCCTCCCACTTGAAGCGGCTAGGTGGACAAAAGAAATATTTCAAAGGTAATGACAAATCTTCACTAACATCAGTCGCTGTCCTCATTAAGGATGAGTTGCGCCGTCTCAACAACCTGTACGCTCAGGTTATACGTAAAAATAGTAGCTGCTGTGAGCTGTGGAGGATGCTAAAACAACTAAGCGGGCTTACTCGACGTAAGTCATCCTCCGAAGTAGATGTGAAGAAACGAAACTATGACTCCGCAACTGCCAAGACCATCACATCTCTGAATCATCCTTTGCTCAGCCTAAATTACCATCATTCTCACTTAAACCCGTCGACGGCGGACTGTACACAAGTTACTGAAGCAGCTTCACTCAAAGAAATCAACAGGTCTAGACAGACTTTCTCCCCTTGTCCTCAAAGAATATGCTGACATTCTTGACCAAACTCTGGCTATTTTAGATACCTTCTGAATGCATCAACATGAAATTTCTGACTGCCGGAGAGGCATCAGTATCATATCAGTATCAAGAAAGGGTTTAAATAAATATTGGCAAATTACCTGTAATTCGGTATCCTTAAAGGTGTCAGAAAAAATCCTTATTAAAATAATCCTTACACAAAGCTGCTTAACGAATGTATTTAATTTGCTTACTTCAGGTCGATATCAACCCAAGACGCAGCAGCCTGTCTTGTGCATTCGGTTCGGTTATCGATAGGCAATAAAATCCGGTTTACCCGTGACTGTTTCTGGACAACAGTAACGCATTCGACGAGTTGCTGTTAAACGATCTACTCCGTGCTGTAAAACAAACTGCTAGCATTCTTGTGTTGAGAGATTAGTTTACCGGTCGTACTTAACTTACCTGTTTTGGAGGCAGAAGCTCCTCTCCCCTAATCACAAACATTAGTGTTCTTCAGGGAGGTATTCTGTCCTCTTGTATGCTTCCCAATTATGTGAGCTCAGTACAATTCCCAGGAGAACAACGCTGTTGACGTACGCAGATGACATTGTCCTGGGTGTCAATCAAGTGACCAATACCTCTTCAGTCAGATTGCAAGATTCCTAACCATCTCACTTTTGGTCAAAGGTCCGCAAGTTGCCGCTTAAAGTGTTGAAATGAAATGATTTCGTATTTTCACTGTAAAGAGGAAATCGATACCAACAGCATTTCCAGAAGCGCTCGGTGTTTCACACCAAATGTGAGGGGTTGCACTCTTCCACACCGGTAAATTAGTTGGGTGTCATGACTTCCTACCATTTCTCTTGAACGCACCATATGACAGAAACCTTCACAAAAGTCCGGAGGCTATTGATCTGCGCCTCACGGCTGCGAGATTCCTCTGTCCCCCGTGATTTCATACTTTGCTTTGTCACCGCATGTCTTCTTCCACACTGGACGTACCGCTCACCAGTGATTTTTCCTGGCCTATTGGGCATGCACAATGTATTCGACAGGTCTTTGAAACTCCTCTTGACGTAGCTTTGTATTAAAACCGCATTTGAATAATTTACTTTCGTCCCTCATGTTTGCCCTTGCAAGAGACTAGCATCAAAAGTACTTGCGACACGTAACACCGCCTTCATTGTGTATTGTCGAAATCTCAACCAGACAGTTAAACGTCCAAATACGCCCGTACGCGAACGTACCATTCGTCAGTTAACCCTTACCTGGCGCGAATTTTGCTATACCAAAACTGATAACCAATCAGTAAAACTCGAATGATGCTATGCTGGTAGATTTGTACTTAAACGAGTTATCCACTTGTTTCAATTACAGTTATGTCATGCTGTGTCGCTGAAAGCGTGTGTATTACAACAAAAAGCAATTTCCTGACATGAAAAGCCTGATTAACAGTTACATCGGCAGTGAGGTTACACAGCTGTTTCATCAATATCCGAACATCAGACTGAGTTGAAGAAGCATGTGTTGGGAAATAGTATATTCGTTCAAGGTGGACAATTACATTCTACTCATTTCTTAAACTGTTGTTTAATATGTTTATGGTATCGATTGAGTCGACCAGCATTCCTGCTTCATGACTATGTTTGCATTGTTAATGTTATAACAATGGCCTCTACTTATTTTCACAGAATTGGACTACAGCATGCTCATTCGTAACCACAACGTGGGAATCGGTTATCTTGACAACAAATTCAGCCCTGCAATCCACGAGCACGAAGGTACTACTTAACGCGACTGGGATAGGGGATGTCGACGCGAGTGTCACTCAGGCTCCTACATTCATGCCAAGCAGATGTCTGTCGCTGTGCCTACTCTTACTGGTTCTACTACTACACGTAACAATATTTGCCTTCTTCGTATGGCAGCTCATCCAAATGAAACAAAAGAGCAAAACTCCAAGTTTTCACAAACATCGGATTCACAGCCACGGAGGGAGTGTCAGCACCGCCGGGGTATGCAATTATCCGATTTCCGATTTTTGCGGTATGTATACAACTACTGATTAATGCAAAGTAGTCAAACGTTAAAACAATTAGCGGGTAGATGCTAAAATCACGTCAAACGAGATACGTGGAAGCTTAGTCCCAGGTAAATCAACATGCTAACTACCAAACACTCTGCCTCAATTGATTAATGTGACGCTATACCAAGCAGTTATAGCTAACTGATCAGCCTCTGCGAGTTTCGATTTATAGCCCCTCAGGTTTGTATTGCTGCTGAGTTACAGTAACGAGCGGTACACATGATGGGAATCGCGTAGAATCAAGTATGACATAATCGGGTCGTCTCATAATCTGCGATACAGTTTGCTGAATCCCTCATTCATTTCAGCCTCTAGTCCTATGATAGATTGCGCATTTTAATTGCCTTCTTAAAAGATCGACCTTGAAGCTACTCCAGTGCGTAAAGTCGCGAGTTAACAAAGGATGTCATACTTGAATAGCGTATTCGAGATGGGGGCGAACATACACACTGAGCATTCATCGAAACATAGAGCTGTCCACTTGTCCGAACGCCTAACGCAACAGCCCGAGGTGTTGGTTTCCAGTCTTAGAGCCCTTTTTGGATTTTCTGGAGCAACCTCAGTCATCTTGAATTAGCACACCCAATCCACGTTTGACAGCTAATGGTTGCAATACATTCGTTCCCAGTCGGTATCAGCAGCTGCTCTGATGTCGGATGGAGAGTACCTTGTACTTACTCACGTTCAACTACAGCGACTTTTAGGTTGACCATTGTTGTACCGTTTTTCGGTCACGCAAAAGCAGATGCTGGTCAGCGTTCACCTGGATCTAGCGTCAATTCTTGATATCGTCGGCAAACATTAGGAAGTTTGAAGCGATTGCCTGTGCGAGGTCATTAATAGACCGAAAACAAACGTGGACCCAGAACTGAACCTTGCGGCACACCACAATCGACTTGTATGTGATCTGATAAAGTGCTCCGATCTCTGAGCATTAATTGCCTTTGAAGTAGAAATTTGGCAATCCAGCTTAGAATAGGTTCGCCGATCCCGCAATGCTAGAGCTTAAAAAGTGGTATCGGATGGTCTAGACTATTAGAAGCCTACAAAAATCCAGATGTATCACTTCAACGTCTTCTCCAGCGTCAATTGATTCGCTCCAACTTCCGAGAGAAATGCGTTTGGGTAAGCAATATAAGACAGAGTTCGTTATTGTCACGCTGCCTAACGTAATCGGTCTTTAACATGATAGGCCACAAGCATGCAATAAATCACGAGTGTAAACAGTAGTTGTTTGGAGATATAAAAGAATGAAATAGAACAGTGGTGTAAAAGGAATCAAAAGCTGCGAAGGCAGGACAAAACTCGCGGAATATTTTGTGTGAACTACTGAAGTTAAACGAAAATTGTGCCATCAAATTGAAACGCAGGATCTGTTAGGTGAGCGGCATCCAGTTCCGGATTTGCCTGTCACTGCGGCCTCCAAGGGTACAGCCACAGGACGTCTGCGCCTAAGATGGACCATGGCTGACTTGCGCTGCACCACCCATTACTTCTATTACACCCCCCATATTCAGTGCAAACTCGAATGCTTAAGACCGGGCGGCATGTTAATAGGAGCCGCGTTTCCTCAACGGAGACGGCCCACAACCCTTCAAAGGCAAAAACAAGCATGCTGTAGGTGGGGAATAAAGCGCGCGCAAGGCAGGGTCTGGACCGTGGTCCGCTTCGCACTGGAAAGAACCAATTTTCGAGCCTATAATGGCCAAGAGGATTGTGCACCCCATCCCATCCAGCAACGATCGACTCTCTAGAGTCAATATAGACGAGGTAGTGGGTATTAGACGGGTGGAAACCTTGTTAACATGTACATCAAGCGCTACCACACAGAAGTTGTCAAGCAACAGTCAATCACCTGAAGTGAAAATACGTGATAACATATATCGAGTAAAGTATGCGAATAGGCCGACGTAACTTTTTGCTAAAGGAGCATATGAAATAAATTTTTTAGCAACAAATCCGCGATAAGTTCAAGATGTCAGGAAAACATATTAAAAGATGCCACAAACGCGAATATGTTAACGAAGTTCATCACCATTAGGTTAAGGGACGTGTATAACTTAATTTCTAATTCAGGGAGACATTAAATTGATTTGACAAAACATCCATTAAGACAAGGTAGCAAATTATCCATCTGAAATAAAGAAACTCAGCACGCAAGCACGCTGTTAGTAAATTGAATGGAAGTGCATGCAGCGTACCTGCCAAAGCTGCGCCCGTTATGCTTACGTTCTCGATAGCACACGTCGTCGTTTCGATGCTGGACCCCAGTGGCTTCGCTCGTGGCTCACTAAACATGCATGACTCAGGCACTCGAGACAAATGTGCTACAGCACCCTGCGCTCGACGTCGATGGAGTAAACTCCGGATAGCGCCATGCACACCGATAAACTGCCGTCTATTCCCAAGCATTGAACGCAACATTGGAACGTGCTAGGCTCGAATTGATCGTCTTCTAGTAACTATGTTTTGGTGTGCACACGTGCCGCTTTCAAGCACGCAGTTGGCCGTAAGGCAGCTGTTTCAGTATCCTGGTCGAATCCATGCGGTGAATATGCCCGAACCACTTCATGTGCCTCAGCAGAATTATACAATCCACTGTATGCCTGTCACTGCGTCGCAGCAACTCCGTGTCTGCACCTCGGTCACTCCAGACGATACGCATAATACGACGGGGTCACTGCTGTTGGACGTGCTCCCGAAAACGGATTTCCTTCCGATAAAGCCTCCAGATAATGCGTCCGATTCGGTATGCGACTGCACAACTCGCTCATCATCCGCAGGTCGCTTGTTATTACGCTTTCAAAGTCGCAAAATCTCGGAGTGGTTTCCAGCAATTCGTCGGCAACCTGGACATGGGAGAGACCCACGGACTTCATTCTGGGTTAAGACTAGAAAAGACACAGTTTTGCTTGTGTTGATAGTGAGCCCGAATTTGGCCAGTGTCGTAGCGAGTGCACTAGTCATGTGCTGCAAATCATCCACGCAGTCGTCAGCAAACAGCAACATACGGATAGTTGTCTCATAGACTAGGGTTCTCGCACCGAAACGACGGATGTTCAGCAAACAACCACCAATAGGATGTTCAAAACATTCAACGTAATCACAAACAGTACCGAACGTATAATACGTCATTGATTGAGTGTAAATATTAAATATGGTAGGAGCTAAGACGCAGCCTTTATTCACAACAGAGACAAGTGCAAAGTCATCTGAGGTTTGTCCACTCAGCTGTAACCTCGCCCGCATGCCACTGTGCAGACATTCAAATAAGTTTACAAAGTTATTCGAACGACTAAACTAAGGCAACACCAGCCACAATGCCTCGCGGTTCACTGTTTTAAATGCTTCGCTGAAGTCATCAAACAGCGAGTACAATGGCTGTTGTCGCTTTCTGCACTTCCCCTACAAATGACGAGCCACAAACACCATATCGATGGTGCTGCGACCCGAACGGAATCCAATTTGCTCTTCCGCCACGTTTGGTTCCATAACCTGACTGACGAGGCGGTTGGACAGGATTCGGGCACTCAACTTGCCAACAAAATTCAGCAAGTAGATGCCGCGATAATTTTGCAAAATTACACGCTTCATTTGCCCTTGTGCAATGGTAGCAAAAGGGAACCCTCAGCGCACGAGGAGCCTCCGGTCTACTCATCGTGGAAGCCACATTACCGCATGTCCATATCCGTCTGCCTCGACTTTGTGGCTGGCGAGTAGTGTGTTTGTCTGTGTCATGTTGTCCCTCAATGACCAGAATTCCTATCGCTAAAGATATATAGTACACAGCACTGTTATGTCGTTTTTAGCAAAATGGGTAATTTGAGTCATAAATGACAGAAATCAAAGTGCGTTCC